CACCGGAAACAAAACAACACTATCATCATCCAAACGACAAAAGCCAACACTGAGCATTACTCAGTCAAACAAAATGGCTCAAACTCAAACATTAACACCAAACACACAAACAAAAACACTCGCAAACAAACACCACCACCATCATACTCATCATCATCATCATCATCACATCCAACACCAACACCATCAACAAAGAAAGGCCACTCCCCACAACATCATTTCTCCTCTTGTATAGTAGCAGTATTTACCACCAACACAACAACAACAACAACAACAACAACAACAGTAATAAAGAAACTCAGAAATATCACACACAATTACCACCACCTGTAGCCATAGCGTATACCTTGGAAAGACAAACTGTCATATCAAGGAAAGAATATGGCGAGTAGAATGTTGCAAGATGGTTTGTCATAGCAATACCACTTGCAGTCAACGTCATATCAAATACAAAAATACCAACACAATTCCACCCACTTCAGCTCAAATCTAGAAACCGATCGATCATTTACACTCACACAAACCATCCCATCGCGCCCACATACAATAACACCACACTAAACAACACATAAACACACTTCCACAACATCAAATCAGGCGCAAATGCACTCAAAATTGCAACAATCAACACACTCATTTACAAAACCTATCAACAACCTAGTTAACAATAGCACTTCGAACACTCACAACAACAATCAACCTAACCTCTCGACAAACAATTGTCAGATATACCTCATTTTGTTCAGGCTTAACAGACACTAAATAACCACCAGATATCCACATTTCACTGACACTTGTCCACCCGAACTCCGACACACATCTCCACTACACACTGGCCCACATTAACACCAACTCATTCATACACTCAACCATCGAAAGAAAACACCTCAAATCTTTCGCTATTCATATCCTGTCAACACACAATACAACAAACACTACACCACACAACTCTACCACTAACACTCACAAACGACAACCACCACACACAATTCCAATCATCATCGCGAGATTCCCGCATACCCGCTAAATACAACACCACCCAACACAACCACAATCTCATCCTCACTCCAACAGCCAACATACACCTCAACATCTCACACACTAACCAACCCACATCACAAACAGCAAAGCAACGACCAAAACAACATCAACAACTAAACACCTCTACCCGGTTAGCACACCTGACACAGACACAACTTCTGTCCAGGGAAGATGACGGGAACAACACTTTAGCAAGTTGACACCTCACATCCTCGGATTCAACGCGGACACTTGTGTCATACTTGCAATAGCAGCCAGTGAACACACCACTCAAATATATATAACAACACATCATCATCACCATTATCATCAACAACTGCACCACAAACACCAACAACAAAATCACAAGCATCTCAAAACAAAAAACACAAATCTTCATATAACTCCCATAATAATAACTTCAACACTCTACACACCCTCGTATATCACTTCGCATGCATCGCCGCCTACACACATACATCACATGAACAACGTCATACCCACTTATATCCCATCACTCCCTTACACGAACTGGCATACCTGTCATGCAACATCAAGTCACTAATACTGTCAGATGTACATCGGAACACTCCTCTACGGAGTCCCATTATGCGACATCATACATTCATTTTGGTGTCCCGTCCCCCAACGTGTACCATGCAAATCGATACAGTGGTCTTTGGACACCGGAAACAAAACAACACTATCATCATCCAAACGACAAAAGCCAACACTGAGCATTACTCAGTCAAACAAAATGGCTCAAACTCAAACATTAACACCAAACACACAAACAAAAACACTCGCAAACAAACACCACCACCATCATCTCATCATCATCATCACATCCAACACCAACACCATCAACAAAGAAAGGCCACTCCCCACAACATCATTTCTCCTCTTGTATAGTAGCAGTATTTACCACCAACACAACAACAACAACAACAACAACGACAACAACAACAGTAATAAAGAAACTCAGAAATATCACACACAATTACCACCACCTGTAGCCATAGCGTATACCTTGGAAAGACAAACTGTCATATCAAGGAAAGAATATGGCGAGTAGAATGTTGCAAGATGGTTTGTCATAGCAATACCACTTGCAGTCAACGTCATATCAAATACAAAAATACCAACACAATTCCACCCACTTCAGCTCAAATCTAGAAACCGATCGATCATTTACACTCACACAAACCATCCCATCGCGCCCACATACAATAACACCACACTAAACAACACATAAACACACTTCCACAACATCAAATCAGGCGCAAATGCACTCAAAATTGCAACAATCAACACACTCATTTACAAAACCTATCAACAACCTAGTTAACAATAGCACTTCGAACACTCACAACAACAATCAACCTAACCTCTCGACAAACAATTGTCAGATATACCTCATTTTGTTCAGGCTTAACAGACACTAAATAACCACCAGATATCCACATTTCACTGACACTTGTCCACCCGAACTCCGACACACATCTCCACTACACACTGGCCCACATTAACACCAACTCATTCATACACTCAACCATCGAAAGAAAACACCTCAAATCTTTCGCTATTCATATCCTGTCAACACACAATACAACAAACACTACACCACACAACTCTACCACTAACACTCACAAACGACAACCACCACACACAATTCCAATCATCATCGCGAGATTCCCGCATACCCGCTAAATACAACACCACCCAACACAACCACAATCTCATCCTCACTCCAACAGCCAACATACACCTCAACATCTCACACACTAACCAACCCACATCACAAACAGCAAAGCAACGACCAAAACAACATCAACAACTAAACACCTCTACCCGGTTAGCACACCTGACACAGACACAACTTCTGTCCAGGGAAGATGACGGGAACAACACTTTAGCAAGTTGACACCTCACATCCTCGGATTCAACGCGGACACTTGTGTCATACTTGCAATAGCAGCCAGTGAACACACCACTCAAATATATATAACAACACATCATCATCACCATTATCATCAACAACTGCACCACAAACACCAACAACAAAATCACAAGCATCTCAAAACAAAAAACACAAATCTTCATATAACTCCCATAATAATAACTTCAACACTCTACACACCCTCGTATATCACTTCGCATGCATCGCCGCCTACACACATACATCACATGAACAACGTCATACCCACTTATATCCCATCACTCCCTTACACGAACTGGCATACCTGTCATGCAACATCAAGTCACTAATACTGTCAGATGTACATCGGAACACTCCTCTACGGAGTCCCATTATGCGACATCATACATTCATTTTGGTGTCCCGTCCCCCAACGTGTACCATGCAAATCGATACAGTGGTCTTTGGACACCGGAAACAAAACAACACTATCATCATCCAAACGACAAAAGCCAACACTGAGCATTACTCAGTCAAACAAAATGGCTCAAACTCAAACATTAACACCAAACACACAAACAAAAACACTCGCAAACAAACACCACCACCATCATACCATCATCATCATCATCACATCCAACACCAACACCATCAACAAAGAAAGGCCACTCCCCACAACATCATTTCTCCTCTTGTATAGTAGCAGTATTTACCACCAACACAACAACAACAACAACAACAACGACAACAACAGTAATAAAGAAACTCAGAAATATCACACACAATTACCACCACCTGTAGCCATAGCGTATACCTTGGAAAGACAAACTGTCATATCAAGGAAAGAATATGGCGAGTAGAATGTTGCAAGATGGTTTGTCATAGCAATACCACTTGCAGTCAACGTCATATCAAATACAAAAATACCAACACAATTCCACCCACTTCAGCTCAAATCTAGAAACCGATCGATCATTTACACTCACACAAACCATCCCATCGCGCCCACATACAATAACACCACACTAAACAACACATAAACACACTTCCACAACATCAAATCAGGCGCAAATGCACTCAAAATTGCAACAATCAACACACTCATTTACAAAACCTATCAACAACCTAGTTAACAATAGCACTTCGAACACTCACAACAACAATCAACCTAACCTCTCGACAAACAATTGTCAGATATACCTCATTTTGTTCAGGCTTAACAGACACTAAATAACCACCAGATATCCACATTTCACTGACACTTGTCCACCCGAACTCCGACACACATCTCCACTACACACTGGCCCACATTAACACCAACTCATTCATACACTCAACCATCGAAAGAAAACACCTCAAATCTTTCGCTATTCATATCCTGTCAACACACAATACAACAAACACTACACCACACAACTCTACCACTAACACTCACAAACGACAACCACCACACACAATTCCAATCATCATCGCGAGATTCCCGCATACCCGCTAAATACAACACCACCCAACACAACCACAATCTCATCCTCACTCCAACAGCCAACATACACCTCAACATCTCACACACTAACCAACCCACATCACAAACAGCAAAGCAACGACCAAAACAACATCAACAACTAAACACCTCTACCCGGTTAGCACACCTGACACAGACACAACTTCTGTCCAGGGAAGATGACGGGAACAACACTTTAGCAAGTTGACACCTCACATCCTCGGATTCAACGCGGACACTTGTGTCATACTTGCAATAGCAGCCAGTGAACACACCACTCAAATATATATAACAACACATCATCATCACCATTATCATCAACAACTGCACCACAAACACCAACAACAAAATCACAAGCATCTCAAAACAAAAAACACAAATCTTCATATAACTCCCATAATAATAACTTCAACACTCTACACACCCTCGTATATCACTTCGCATGCATCGCCGCCTACACACATACATCACATGAACAACGTCATACCCACTTATATCCCATCACTCCCTTACACGAACTGGCATACCTGTCATGCAACATCAAGTCACTAATACTGTCAGATGTACATCGGAACACTCCTCTACGGAGTCCCATTATGCGACATCATACATTCATTTTGGTGTCCCGTCCCCCAACGTGTACCATGCAAATCGATACAGTGGTCTTTGGACACCGGAAACAAAACAACACTATCATCATCCAAACGACAAAAGCCAACACTGAGCATTACTCAGTCAAACAAAATGGCTCAAACTCAAACATTAACACCAAACACACAAACAAAAACACTCGCAAACAAACACCACCACCATCATCATCATCATCACATCCAACACCAACACCATCAACAAAGAAAGGCCACTCCCCACAACATCATTTCTCCTCTTGTATAGTAGCAGTATTTACCACCAACACAACAACAACAACAACAACAACGACAACAACAACAGTAATAAAGAAACTCAGAAATATCACACACAATTACCACCACCTGTAGCCATAGCGTATACCTTGGAAAGACAAACTGTCATATCAAGGAAAGAATATGGCGAGTAGAATGTTGCAAGATGGTTTGTCATAGCAATACCACTTGCAGTCAACGTCATATCAAATACAAAAATACCAACACAATTCCACCCACTTCAGCTCAAATCTAGAAACCGATCGATCATTTACACTCACACAAACCATCCCATCGCGCCCACATACAATAACACCACACTAAACAACACATAAACACACTTCCACAACATCAAATCAGGCGCAAATGCACTCAAAATTGCAACAATCAACACACTCATTTACAAAACCTATCAACAACCTAGTTAACAATAGCACTTCGAACACTCACAACAACAATCAACCTAACCTCTCGACAAACAATTGTCAGATATACCTCATTTTGTTCAGGCTTAACAGACACTAAATAACCACCAGATATCCACATTTCACTGACACTTGTCCACCCGAACTCCGACACACATCTCCACTACACACTGGCCCACATTAACACCAACTCATTCATACACTCAACCATCGAAAGAAAACACCTCAAATCTTTCGCTATTCATATCCTGTCAACACACAATACAACAAACACTACACCACACAACTCTACCACTAACACTCACAAACGACAACCACCACACACAATTCCAATCATCATCGCGAGATTCCCGCATACCCGCTAAATACAACACCACCCAACACAACCACAATCTCATCCTCACTCCAACAGCCAACATACACCTCAACATCTCACACACTAACCAACCCACATCACAAACAGCAAAGCAACGACCAAAACAACATCAACAACTAAACACCTCTACCCGGTTAGCACACCTGACACAGACACAACTTCTGTCCAGGGAAGATGACGGGAACAACACTTTAGCAAGTTGACACCTCACATCCTCGGATTCAACGCGGACACTTGTGTCATACTTGCAATAGCAGCCAGTGAACACACCACTCAAATATATATAACAACACATCATCATCACCATTATCATCAACAACTGCACCACAAACACCAACAACAAAATCACAAGCATCTCAAAACAAAAAACACAAATCTTCATATAACTCCCATAATAATAACTTCAACACTCTACACACCCTCGTATATCACTTCGCATGCATCGCCGCCTACACACATACATCACATGAACAACGTCATACCCACTTATATCCCATCACTCCCTTACACGAACTGGCATACCTGTCATGCAACATCAAGTCACTAATACTGTCAGATGTACATCGGAACACTCCTCTACGGAGTCCCATTATGCGACATCATACATTCATTTTGGTGTCCCGTCCCCCAACGTGTACCATGCAAATCGATACAGTGGTCTTTGGACACCGGAAACAAAACAACACTATCATCATCCAAACGACAAAAGCCAACACTGAGCATTACTCAGTCAAACAAAATGGCTCAAACTCAAACATTAACACCAAACACACAAACAAAAACACTCGCAAACAAACACCACCACCATCATACATCATCATCATCATCATCACATCCAACACCAACACCATCAACAAAGAAAGGCCACTCCCCACAACATCATTTCTCCTCTTGTATAGTAGCAGTATTTACCACCAACACAACAACAACAACAACAACAACACAACAACAACAGTAATAAAGAAACTCAGAAATATCACACACAATTACCACCACCTGTAGCCATAGCGTATACCTTGGAAAGACAAACTGTCATATCAAGGAAAGAATATGGCGAGTAGAATGTTGCAAGATGGTTTGTCATAGCAATACCACTTGCAGTCAACGTCATATCAAATACAAAAATACCAACACAATTCCACCCACTTCAGCTCAAATCTAGAAACCGATCGATCATTTACACTCACACAAACCATCCCATCGCGCCCACATACAATAACACCACACTAAACAACACATAAACACACTTCCACAACATCAAATCAGGCGCAAATGCACTCAAAATTGCAACAATCAACACACTCATTTACAAAACCTATCAACAACCTAGTTAACAATAGCACTTCGAACACTCACAACAACAATCAACCTAACCTCTCGACAAACAATTGTCAGATATACCTCATTTTGTTCAGGCTTAACAGACACTAAATAACCACCAGATATCCACATTTCACTGACACTTGTCCACCCGAACTCCGACACACATCTCCACTACACACTGGCCCACATTAACACCAACTCATTCATACACTCAACCATCGAAAGAAAACACCTCAAATCTTTCGCTATTCATATCCTGTCAACACACAATACAACAAACACTACACCACACAACTCTACCACTAACACTCACAAACGACAACCACCACACACAATTCCAATCATCATCGCGAGATTCCCGCATACCCGCTAAATACAACACCACCCAACACAACCACAATCTCATCCTCACTCAAACAGCCAACATACACCTCAACATCTCACACACTAACCAACCCACATCACAAACAGCAAAGCAACGACCAAAACAACATCAACAACTAAACACCTCTACCCGGTTAGCACACCTGACACAGACACAACTTCTGTCCAGGGAAGATGACGGGAACAACACTTTAGCAAGTTGACACCTCACATCCTCGGATTCAACGCGGACACTTGTGTCATACTTGCAATAGCAGCCAGTGAACACACCACTCAAATATATATAACAACACATCATCATCACCATTATCATCAACAACTGCACCACAAACACCAACAACAAAATCACAAGCATCTCAAAACAAAAAACACAAATCTTCATATAACTCCCATAATAATAACTTCAACACTCTACACACCCTCGTATATCACTTCGCATGCATCGCCGCCTACACACATACATCACATGAACAACGTCATACCCACTTATATCCCATCACTCCCTTACACGAACTGGCATACCTGTCATGCAACATCAAGTCACTAATACTGTCAGATGTACATCGGAACACTCCTCTACGGAGTCCCATTATGCGACATCATACATTCATTTTGGTGTCCCGTCCCCCAACGTGTACCATGCAAATCGATACAGTGGTCTTTGGACACCGGAAACAAAACAACACTATCATCATCCAAACGACAAAAGCCAACACTGAGCATTACTCAGTCAAACAAAATGGCTCAAACTCAAACATTAACACCAAACACACAAACAAAAACACTCGCAAACAAACACCACCACCATCATACTCATCATCATCATCATCATCACATCCAACACCAACACCATCAACAAAGAAAGGCCACTCCCCACAACATCATTTCTCCTCTTGTATAGTAGCAGTATTTACCACCAACACAACAACAACAACAACAACAACAACAACAACAGTAATAAAGAAACTCAGAAATATCACACACAATTACCACCACCTGTAGCCATAGCGTATACCTTGGAAAGACAAACTGTCATATCAAGGAAAGAATATGGCGAGTAGAATGTTGCAAGATGGTTTGTCATAGCAATACCACTTGCAGTCAACGTCATATCAAATACAAAAATACCAACACAATTCCACCCACTTCAGCTCAAATCTAGAAACCGATCGATCATTTACACTCACACAAACCATCCCATCGCGCCCACATACAATAACACCACACTAAACAACACATAAACACACTTCCACAACATCAAATCAGGCGCAAATGCACTCAAAATTGCAACAATCAACACACTCATTTACAAAACCTATCAACAACCTAGTTAACAATAGCACTTCGAACACTCACAACAACAATCAACCTAACCTCTCGACAAACAATTGTCAGATATACCTCATTTTGTTCAGGCTTAACAGACACTAAATAACCACCAGATATCCACATTTCACTGACACTTGTCCACCCGAACTCCGACACACATCTCCACTACACACTGGCCCACATTAACACCAACTCATTCATACACTCAACCATCGAAAGAAAACACCTCAAATCTTTCGCTATTCATATCCTGTCAACACACAATACAACAAACACTACACCACACAACTCTACCACTAACACTCACAAACGACAACCACCACACACAATTCCAATCATCATCGCGAGATTCCCGCATACCCGCTAAATACAACACCACCCAACACAACCACAATCTCATCCTCACTCCAACAGCCAACATACACCTCAACATCTCACACACTAACCAACCCACATCACAAACAGCAAAGCAACGACCAAAACAACATCAACAACTAAACACCTCTACCCGGTTAGCACACCTGACACAGACACAACTTCTGTCCAGGGAAGATGACGGGAACAACACTTTAGCAAGTTGACACCTCACATCCTCGGATTCAACGCGGACACTTGTGTCATACTTGCAATAGCAGCCAGTGAACACACCACTCAAATATATATAACAACACATCATCATCACCATTATCATCAACAACTGCACCACAAACACCAACAACAAAATCACAAGCATCTCAAAACAAAAAACACAAATCTTCATATAACTCCCATAATAATAACTTCAACACTCTACACACCCTCGTATATCACTTCGCATGCATCGCCGCCTACACACATACATCACATGAACAACGTCATACCCACTTATATCCCATCACTCCCTTACACGAACTGGCATACCTGTCATGCAACATCAAGTCACTAATACTGTCAGATGTACATCGGAACACTCCTCTACGGAGTCCCATTATGCGACATCATACAT